CTTTTTGCTTATGTGGTGCTGAGGAATCGAACCCAGGGCCTCATGCATGCAAGGCAAGTGCTCTACCACTGAGCCACCATCCCAGCCCCCCCTATTCAGCCATATTTTTTAAGTCTGAGAGAATCTCGTGTTCCAGTGCTATCAGTAGTGAACAGTGTACAGGTGTAATCTATGCTTCAGGTAGATCTATGCTGATTTGAGGCATTTGCTCTCTTTTTGTAATGTTTATGATAGTTTAATTTTTCTCCAGCCCTATTTCAGAATTGCTTCTGGTTTATGCAGGTAAACATTTTTTTTTAATAGTGGGATCTATTATTTGTTCAGTGTATGAAGATATCAGACAGATTTGATTAAAGCTGTATAATACTAAGGGATAATATAGTTTACTTTTACAGACCAGTTCTTGTCTTGGAGTTATCATAGGATAATTACAGTATTTGTTTTCCAGATTGTTTATAATGGATTTTAAATTCTGAAAGTAATATTTTTAAAGTATTCTTGTAAAAGAAACTTCAGTTTTAAAACGCTTAAAAAGGAATTTCAGGAAGTGAAGCTGTAGCTCAATTGATAGAGCACTAGCCATGAGCAAAAAGTTTAGGGACAATGCCCAGGTCCTGAGTTAAAGCCCTAGTACCAGCACCAAAAAATAAATAAATAAATAAATAAAGGAATTTCATTTCATATTGAAGTAAAACATTATTTAAGCCCCATGGCTAACAAAAGCAACAACAAAACAGTAATACAGAAACATATAAAATAGCAGTAAGATAAATCTCTTATCTAAAGAAAATCAGCATCTTATAGAACCATAAAGGCAAATGTATCTTAACATTCTATAAACAAAGCCCCTAACTTGCAAGCATAAAATTCTTGATATTTCAAATATATTGAGAGTGGTAAACATATTAACTTGGAATTGAATAAAAATACTACTGTCATTTTTATTGGCACTGTCATATTTGGTAGGCTTGTTTTATGTGCTTATTCATTTTTATGTCCATTTTTATTGTAATAGAAATGGAGAAGAAGCTCTTAGAAGAAAGGTCTTTAAAACAGAAGGTAGAGAACCTATTACTAGAAGCTGAGAAAAAATGCTCTATTTTGGACTGTGACCTCAAACAGTCACAGCAAAAGGTGAATGAGCTCCTTAAACAAAAAGATGGACTCAATGAGGATGTAAGTATAGATTTCACTAATGAACATTTAATGACTTAATAATAAGCTAGTTTTATTTGTAAAAGCTTATGGAGGACTTCGTAAACTCTAATTTTTTTTTTTTTTTGCCGGTCATGGGGCCTGAACTCTGGGTCTGGGCACTGTCCCTCAGCTCTTCAGCTCAAGGCTAGTGCTCTACCACTGGAGCCACAGTGCCACTTCCGGCTTTTTCTGTTTATGTGGTGCTGAGGAATCGAACCCAGGGCCTCATGCTTGCAAGGCAAGCACTCTACCACTGAGCCACCTTCCCAGCCCTAATTTTTTTCTTATATTCTACTCCATCTCTTGAGTTTACTGGATTTTCATGTATAGTATAAGAAAATGATAATTCAATAGTATTTTTTTGGCATGAATACAGATTCTTTTTTTTTAATTTTTGTTTATTTTTTATTGTGAAAATACTTACAGAGGGGTTACAATTACATGGGCAAGATAATGAGTATATTTCTTATCAAGCATTGTAGCCTCCTCCTTTGTTTCCCCTTCCCAAAATTCAAGAGTATTTAGAGTCTTTTATTTTAAACATTTTACTGTGAAATGAATGAGAAAAAACTTTTTTTTTTTTGTCAGCCATGGGGCTTGAACTCTGGGCCTGAGCGCCGTCCCTCAGCTCTTCAGCTCAAGGCTAGTGCTCTACCACTTGAGCTACAGTGCCGCATCTGGTTTTCTGGTGGTTTATTGGAGATAAGAGTTACAGACTTTCCTGCCCAGGCTGCCTTTGAACTGCAGTACTCAGATGTCAGCCTCCTGAGTAGCTAGGATTACAGGCATGAGCCACCGGCGCCCGACTGGAAAAAAACTTTTATATCACGATATTTTCTGTTAGCTTTATTCATAAGAAAAATAAAAGTAGTTTACTTTTATACTAAGTCTACGTTTTATGTTTTGAGGTTCAAAATTTGACGTTAAAAATAGAGCAGGAAACTCAGAAGCGCTGCCTCACGCAAAATGACCTGAAGATGCAAACACAGCAAGTTAACACATTGAAAATGTCAGAAAAGCAGTTAAAACAAGAGAATAATCACCTCATGGAAATGAAAATGAACCTGGAGAAACAAAATGCTGAACTTCGGAAGTAAGTAAGCTAATTGAGATGAAGGTTTAATATGCACAATTATCCACATGCACACTATCTTAATTTTGTTTTCTCTAGGAATTTTCTTTTGACGGTCTTGCTTTCTCTAGAAGTATTGTGTTGGCACCTGTGGCCTTCAGGCAGATTATGTTTGTGTATTTACTGCAGCTACACTGTAGAACAAGCAGAGAGCAGAGAGTGGGAGCAAAGAGAAGGGGGCTGGGGTCTTTCTTCCATGTTCTTGAGCTTCCTCCTCTGATCTGCCCCACAGAATGTTTTTTAATCATTTTACCCAGTATTTTGAAATTCTTTTAAAATATACCACTAAAGCTTATCACATTATTTCTATTAGTAGTAGAATACTTCTTCCCATTCATCATCAGAGGTTCTGTTGAGTCCTAGGTATTTGATGAAAAGAGATATGAGAGAATAACTACTTACTAGTTGGTTAACATTGGGAAAATATTGAATCTTTCTGTCCCATCTGTGAAAGGGAGCAATAATATCTCATGGTTAGGAATCCAGTAAAGGAAAAGTATTGACATTTTAAGTATCTACAATACAATAAGTGGTTGGGACTTATTAGTGCTATTAGCACATCAGGACCTAAGGAGTACCTTAAGGTGGCAGATGAGCAACACAGATGCTGTCTAGGAAGAAATAGTTAAAATATTCACTTGGAGTTCTTTTTGCCCATGTACTGCCAGAGAAGCCTAGACTTACTAAACTTAAACTTACTTTATCATCAGAATTCAAAATTGAAACAGTATTCAGTCAGACATCTTGATTTTTTTTGTTGTGGTTGGCTTCATTTTCTTCCATGTTAGCTTTATTCCTCAAAATGATCCTAATATTAAAATTGAATGGGGGCTTGCTACAAGTAGGCTTAGCTGATACTGCTGACATAGTTTTTGAAACTTGGTCTTCCATGGCTCTTTTCCTTATTTGAGTAATTTTGTTTTTGAGACAGGGTCTTTCCAGGTAGCCTAGGCTTGCTTTGAACTCCCTACGTAGCCCAATCTGTCCACCGTCTTTCAGTCCTGCCACAGTCTCCTGAGTGCTAGGATTTTAAGTGTGTATCACTACCATGCCTGGCCTCTGTCACATTTTTTACTTGTGGGGAAATAAAAAGCATGAATTCTCAGTAATACACTCCTTAATAATAAATGTGGAAATAACACGGATAAGTGGTATTGAGTCATATTTTCCATTTTAAGGGCCAGTAAGTAAATAAAATAACCGAAGTATGTTAACTGATCAGAAGAGTGAAAGGCCTACTTTATATACAGCTTGAACATAGTGGGTTAAGTCACTTGTTTGAGCTTTTCTTAATGTTTACAGTTTTTAAATATCCAAGATGTATGCAAGTATTTTCTTAACTATAAAATATAAATTTTTTTCTTTATCTTTTTTTTTTTTTTGCTGGTCCTGGGCCTTGAACTCTGGTCCTAGGCACTGTTGTTGAACTTATTTTTACTCAAGGTGAGCACTCTACTGCTTGAGCCACAGTGCCATGTCTGGCTTTTTTTTTTTTTTTTTTGGAGATTTAGGTGGAGATGAGAGTCTCATGGAGTTCCTACCCAGGCTGGCTTCAAACTGCAATTCGCAGATCTCAGGCTCCTAAGTAGCTAGGATTATAGGCGTGAGCTTTAGCCCCACTAGAACTACATTTTTTAAAAAGGCAGAACATGATGTGTCACTTTATAAATACAGCTATATTCCTTTCTCAGATGTAGCATGTCTTTGTTGTCCTAGACACCTCTCTGTGCTCATATGTATATTTTGTACATTTCTATGCAATTATATGTAGGATTGAGATTTTGGTACATCATCTTTTTGTTGTTGTTGTTGGTCGTGGGGCTTGAACTCTGGGCCTGGGCGCTGTACTTCAGCTCTTCAGCTTAAGGCTAGTGCTCTACTACTTAAGCCACAGTGCTATTTCTGGATTTCTGGTGGTTTATTGGAGATAAGAGTCTCACTGACTTTCCTGCCTGGGCTAGCTTTGAACAATGATCCTAGGATCCTAGCCTTCTGAGTAGCTAGGATTACAGGTTTAAGCCTCCAGTGCCCCGTTTTTTATTTTTAGTTTTTTTTTTTTTGGCTCATCATGTGCCTGAGCCACAGCTCCCTTTTCAGTTTTCTGATAGTTAATTGGAAACAAGAGTCTCACGGGCTTTTCTGCCTAGGATAGGTTTGAACGGCATCCTCAGATCTCAGCCCTTGAGTAGCTAGGATTACAGGCATGAGCCACCAGCTTCCAGTTCTCTTCTTCTTTTTTTTTTTTTACTTATAGAAGTTGTGTTCTCCAACTTGCTAACCACTTTCACACCCTTAGTTTGATGAGATAAATATGTTTTTATGTTTTTTAAAGTAAGCCTTAAACAGCATTTCAAATCACTTTCTTAAATTAGTGTAGACTTTTTTTTTTTTTTTTTGGTCAGTCGTGGGGCCTGAACTTGGCCTGGGTGCTGTCCCTCAGCTCTTCAGCTCAAGGCTAGCGCTCTACCACTTGAGCCACAGCACCACTTCCCGCTTTTTCTGTCTATGTGGTTCTGAATAGTTGAACCTAGGGCCTCATACATGCAAGGCAAGCACTCTGCCACTGAGCCACCTTCCCAGCCCTAGACTCAATTTTAATATGTTTAATTACTGGTTCAGAAATACTCAGAGAAAAGCATATATTGTAAACTTTTCAGTAAAGTTTTCTAGATTGTGGAAATTGGTGGCATCTCTTCTGGTTTAGATTCAAAGCAGGACTCCTAGTCTCCCTCAGGCCCTCCAAGCCACTTCTTCCCTCAGATACTCAGCCTTCCATGGTTGGCATATGTAGTTAGTTAATCACAGCAGGCTATAGTAATCAGTCTTGTTGGTTTAATATAACACTGTTTGGTCTTAAAATCTTTTTATATTCTTGAAAGTAATTGAGGAATTTAGAGTTTTTGATGATTGTTGTGTTAAAGATTAAAATTGAGAAAAATTAAAAATACAAGCACACATTTTTTATGAGTTCTTTTTTTACTATGAAAATACTGTACAGAGGGGTTACAGTTACATGAGCAAGATAATGAGTATATTTCTTATCAAGCATTGTAGCCTCCTCCTGTTTCCCCTTCCCATCCTCCCCCTCACCCCTCGCACCAAAGTTGTAAAGTTCGTTTTCGACATAACAACTTGTACATCTCATTGTTGTAATGGGTCCACTTGTATCCCTAGTTAAACTATTTGTTTTTCCCCTTCCCCTCCACAAATTATACTGACATCAAATACAGTGAAAGCAGGGGTTATACCGTGGGGGAGGGGCATACAAAGCAACAAAGAAATAATCTTATAAATGACAAGCACACATTTTATTAGCTTATTCATTACATATGTCAGAGAGTCTAAGAGAAAGTCCATATGCAATAGTGAAGGAGTGTCAGGTTTTCTTTTTTAGTCCTACTTATTTTTGTCCTGTTTCTGGGGTTTGGATTTGGTCTGAGTGCTGTCCCTGAGCTTCTTTTGCTACAGGTTGGTACTCTACCACTTGAGCCAGAGCTCCACTTTTGTTGTTGTTGTTTATTTGGGGCGGTGGTTTTTGGTAGTTAATTGGAGATAAGAAGAGCATAGACTTTCCTGCTAGTTGGCTTCAACTATGATTCTCAGATTTCAGCCTCCTGAGTAGCTAGGTTTTTTACAGGTATGAGCTACTAGCTCCTGGCTAGGAGTGACAGTTTTTGTTTGTTTGGTTTTTTGTTTTGTTTTGTTTTTTTCCTTGTCATGGGGCTTGAACTCTGGGACTAGGTGCTATCCCTGAGCTCTTCAGCTCAAAGCAAGCACTCTACCACTTGAGCCACAGTGCCACTTCTGGTTTTCTGGGTGGTTTATTGGGGAAGAGTCTCACTGACTTTCCTGCCCAGACTGGCTTTGAACCGTGATCTTCAGATCTGAAGCTCCTGAGTAGCTAGGATTACAGGTATGAGCCACCAGTGCCTGGCAGGAGTGACAGTTTTAAAAAGCAGAGATTCACTTTATATCAGCATGAGAATGATTTGTCCTCACAGATTTTTTTGAAAAGACACAAGTGTTCCCCAAACTGTTTTACTACAGTGACTGCTCACAACACTTACTTGATTCATTGTCTTCATAGAGAGCGCCAGGATGCAGATGGGCAAATGAAAGAGCTCCAGGATCAGCTTGAAGCAGAGCAGTATTTCTCAGTAAGTTTCAGACACATTAATTTGGAAATTGCTGTATTTGTAGAATTTTTAAAAATTCTTTCTGTACAACTAAAAGGATAATTGTCTTTAAATAGATTGTTATAGTAAACACTAGAATGTTTTGTATGGGACATGTTGTATCATATAACTCATAATAAAAGTACTGTGTAGGCTGGAAGCATGGCTTAAGTGGCAAAGTGCCTGTATTATACTACAAAGTGCCTATATTAGAGTCAAAGGTGGAAGAATCACTTGAGCCTACAAGTTTGAGACCGGCCTAGGCAATGTTACAAGGTACCATCTCAGAACAAAAATTATCATCTCAACACACACTGTACCATGCCTTCAAAGTTAGTTTAAAAGCATTGCTTTTGAGGAATAATGTTTTCATAATAGAAAGAAATAAAATTGTCATTTTAATATACCTCTTTGAGATCAGTTTTTAAAAATGAAGTCGAAATGTCATGGAGTTAAAAATAAGGGAGCAACCCAGTCAGTGGGGTACTAAAGAAGAGAAAGAAGATAACAGGTGATTAAGGGAATATGAAAACATACAGGTTTTGTGTACTAATACATTATGAAGTTAAGAATGAAGAAAATGTAGGAGGAAATGCTGTGAAAAAGTCAGGAAGTACAGTAGGTGACTTATGACAATGTTATGAATCTGTGATAGAACAAAGATATTCATTTCAGAATTAGAGTTGAATCTCAATCCACATTGTATCATGCAGTAGCAGTCTGACCCTGAGGGAAATTAGATCACTCTTTCTAAACAATATTTTCTTTATTTGTTAAAAGAAGTAAAATTTTCATCTTATGGAGTATTTTTGAGAAATAAATATATTAACCTAATAAAGTTCCTTGATATTCAATGTAAAAAAAATAAAATCTAATTGGAAAAAAAATAAAAATGAAGTAGATATTATCATCTCCTTTCCATTCATTTAAGTCAGCAACATTCTTTTTGCTAATAATTATCCTTCTATCAACTGGTGCTGTTTGGTTTTTTTTGTTTGTTTTTTTGGTTTTTTTTTGGGTCCGGTTGTGGGGCCTGAACTCTGGGCCTGGGCGCTGTCCCTCAGCTCTTCAGCTCAAGGCTAGCACTCTACTACTTGAGCCACAGTACCACTTCCAGCTTTTTTCTTATGTGGTGCTGAGGAATCGAACCCAGGGCCTCAAGCATGCAAGGCAAGTGCTCTACCTTCCCAGCCCCCTGGTGCTGTTTTTTTAAAAAGAAATATTACTATAATATCCAGTCTAAATCGTGCTTGTATATTAGGGAATAGGTTGTGCTAGGGTCTAAATCTAGGGCTCCATGCATGCTAAGCTTGTACTCTACTACTAAGTTACACTGCAAACTGCTAGTTGAATTTTTATTAGTTTATCAGTGGATGACTAGAAAATAAGAAAGCCCACTAAACTATTAATTTGGCAAGGAGTCCAACATTATTCAACATTAAAATATTTGGGCATATTCCATTTTTATCTGGGTAAGTTTTAAATGTATAATGTTCTTTATTAAACTGATACACATGCCTGTTGTATTTTCCTTTTTAGACACTCTATAAAACTCAAGTTAGAGAACTTAAGGAGGAAAGTGAAGAAAAGACTAAACTGTGTAAAGAGTTACAGCAGAAGAAACAGGAATTACAGGATGAAAGGTAAGGAAAAGACCCCTGTCTTGTCTTCATAGACACATGCCTCTAGAACAGTGCCTGCTAGTTATGAAGTATCAATGAACTGATGAGGTCAAGAAGACAAAAATTCTTGTTTTGAGCTCAAAGAATTTTTTAAAATTATTTTTAAGAAGGTATACAAAGGAGTTTGAATTCAACAAATGAGTTTAGATATAAAGTACAGTGAATCTTGATTAATGTTATTCCTTCCATCATTCTTCTGACAAAAACTTATAGCAAAAACTGTGTATTAAAATGGTTTATCTCTAATAAGACTGGAGATTTACTCAGTGACAGAGTGTGAGTTTAGCATGCATGTTCAATCTTCATCACAAAAAAAGAATTCTTTTTAATGTTTTAAATGTTGTCTTTCTAAAATACAGGGACTCGTTGGCTGCCCAGCTGGAGATAACATTAACCAAAGCAGATTCTGAGCAGCTGGCTCGTTCAATTGCTGAAGAACAGTATTCTGATTTGGAAAAAGAAAAAATCATGAAGGAACTAGAGATCAAAGAGATGATGGCTAGACATAAACAAGAACTTACTGAAAAAGATGCTACTATTGCATCTGTAAGTAAAATTCTTGGTACTTTTTTTATTTTAACTGAATTGCTGTATCATATATAGAATCACTAAAACATTGTCATGAATCTGAATGAAAACTTGTGCTGACTACCAGATTTTTAATCCAAACAGCCATTAATTTCCCAAAGAAAAATAAAATACCAAATAGTTGGGTTTGTGCTATCAATTATGCTGACCTATTGAAATGCTAGAGGTATTAGAACAGGGTAATCTGATTCTTCTCAGTGAAAATTAATAATAACCAAAGATTCATCTGCTGGCAAGAACTTAATATGTGGTGAAAGTGGCAGTATACAAACCACTTCGTGTAGTGGGAAGGGACATAGATTTAGTATGTGGGTTTTTCTTTTGTTTTTGGTCATGGGGTTTAAACTCAGGTCTTGGTCTGCTGTCCCTGAGCTTTTTTGCTTAAGGCTAGCACTCTACTACTTTGAGCCACAGCTTCTGGTTTTTCTAATGCTTAATCGGAAATAAGAATCTCCTGGACTTTCTTGCCTGAGTTGTCTTTGAATAGTGATCATCAGATTTCAGTCTCCTGAGTAGCTAGGATTCCAGGTATGGGCCAGTGGTGCCTGACCTCTTTGTATAATTTTTATCTTCCGTTTTAAACTAATGTCCTGAAATAAATTCTACAATTTTCAAATTTATTACATGTAGTAGAATGAAGGACTTTTGTGGCTCCTTCTATTAATTCACTAAGTAGTTTTTTCATTCTTTAAGAAAACTGCTAAGGATTTGTTAGAGAAGGGCAAGTTTTTAGTTTCCCTGGGATACATGTGCAGTGTGTTATGGTGAGCAGATGTTTCATGAGAGGCAGAGTGGGTAAGGGAGCACAGGGGTAGGAAAGGAGAAGGTAGACTTAGAAAATGAGACTTGCCAACATGCTAGGATTTTGTTTCCTTTACTGTTTTATGACTTTATTTTGGTAAGTTGAGATATGATTTTCTTCACTTTCATTTCTTAGCTTGAAGAAACGAATAGGACACTAACTAGTGATGTTGCTAATCTTGCAAATGAGAAAGAAGAATTAAACAACAAATTGAAAGATGCTCAAGAACGTATGTATTAACAAAGACAAGTTTATTTTTCACTTCCCAATGCCTGCTACTTGCTGTAGTATCAATGTGATGTTTGTGTTTTGCATTTGTTTCAGAACTGTCACGACTGAAAGATGAGGAGATAAGTGCCGCAGCCATTAAAGCGCAGTTTGAGAAGCAGCTGTTGACAGAGAGGACGCTCAAGACGCAGGCACGTTGCTCAGCCCACATACGCTGTCCTCTCTCCGTCTTGCTTCTAGTACTATACATTGGAGCAGGGTTTGCTGACTGTCGGCGTGTGGCCACTTTTCACAATTGTCATTGGAGAAATGATGAAAATGAAAAACTAAGAGTTATGGAATGGAGAAGGAAGTTTTTTGTTTTTGTTTTGTTTTTTGGTTGGCCGTGGGGCTTGAACTCTGGGCCTGGGCGCTGTCCCTCAGCCCTTCAGCTCAAGGCGAGCGCTCTACCACTTGAGCTACAGTGCCACTTCCGGTTTTCTGGTGGTTTATTGGAGATAGGAGTCTCAAGGTCTCTCCTGCCCGGGCTGGCTTTGAACCATGATCCTCAGATCTCAGCCTCCTGAGTAGCTAGGATTACAGGCATGAGCCACCGGCAGCCGGCGAGAAGGAAGTTTTTTAAAATAATGTGGAAAGTTTTCTTTGTAGCCTTGTATATAGGAAGGAGATTATTCGTGGTTCTATAACCTGTAGTTAGTGAGTTACTGAGAAACCATCAACATAATCATGTTACTTATACTTTACTTATGTTTACATTTTTAAGGCTGTGAATAAATTGGCTGAAATTATGAATCGAAAAGAACCTGTCAAGCGTGGCAGTGACACAGATGTACGAAGAAAAGAGAAGGAGAATAGAAAGCTACATATGGAGCTTAAATCCGAACGTGAAAAACTGACCCAACAGATGATCAAGTATCAGAAAGAACTGAATGAGATGCAGGCTGTAAGAATTCTTTGGGGACCCAAACTTTTTAAAGTTATTTTGTATTTGTATTTTTATAATTGAAGAAATAGAACTATTTTCATGTTTGTGGGTATTTGGTATCAGGACATTTCTTTTAATTACTGAAACAAGATGAGACAAATCTCATCCAGTTAATTTGATGTAATTTTTTTGTAGCAAATAGCTGAAGAGAGCCAGATTCGAATTGAACTGCAGATGACGCTGGACTCTAAGGACAGTGACATTGAGCAGCTGCGCTCCCAGCTCCAGGCCTTGCACTTGGACAGCTCCAGTACTGGCAGTGGCCCAGGAGATGCAGATGCTGATGATGGGTTTCCAGGTACAGATTCTTTCAGTCCCTACATTTCTCTTAAATGGACATCAGCTGATTGTCTTAAGTTTTGCACTCAACTGCTTTTGAGGCAAAAATGTCATTTCTTTAAAGGAAAACCTACTTTTTGGAGTGGGTTCTTCAAGTAATATTTTAGACTTAAGTTATGCATTGATTTTTTTGACAGTATTTTACATTAATAACGCAAACAGAAGCTCCATATTTAGATACTTAACTCATTGTATGTTATATAGTCACTTTCTTTTTAAGCTTTTGTTTTCTCTTCTTTCTGCATCTTACTTCCTTGTATGTTGGGGTGTTAAGTTCATATTACTCAATCACACACTATGGAATCCATGTCATTCACCTACCGGCGTTCCTCTACTTCTCTCAATATTGCCACTAAGCCTTCCAGTTCTCACATGCTCCTTCACTCTGACTCTGACTCTGACTCAGAAGAAGAATCTTTGTCTTACTTACCCATTTCTCCGGAACCTAATGGTACAGGTGATATCCTCAAAAACTCTTTGTCTTTGGAGTTTTCCCCCCTGCCTATAATTTTAGTCCTTCTGAATTTTTTTAACAATAACTAATATTTACTAACCCTGACATGTTGATGTAGATTGACTGTTTTTAACTCATTAGAAATATATTACTATACAAAAAAAATGTTTTCTTATGGCACTGCTATTATAATTGATAGGCCATAGGCTGGGAATGTGGTTTAGTGGTAGAGTGTTTGCCTAGCATGCATGAAGCTGGAAGTGGTGTTGTGGCTCAACGGGTAGAGTGCTAGTCTTGAGCAAAAGAAGCTCAGGGACAGTGCCCAGGCCATGAGTTCATGCCCAGGACTGACCCCCAAAAAAAAAGATAGGCCATTGATTTTGCCAACTTCAAAGAAATGGAATAATACATCACTTACAAATGTATGTTTTTTAACCCTCCCTCTCTCCTTCCCTCCCCCTTTCCCTCCCTCTACCCTCCCTTCCGTCTTTCTTTCTCTTTTTTTTTTTTTTTTTGGGTCGGTCATGGGGCCTGAACTCTGAGCTTGGGCACTGTCCCTCAGCTCTTCAGCTCAAGGCGAGTGCTCTACCACTTGAGCCACAGCGCCACTTCCTTTCTTTCTTTTTCTTTCCTTCCTTCTTTCTTCCTCCCTTTTTTCCTTCTTTCTTTCCTCCTTCCTCCTTCCTCTTCCTCCTTCCTCCTCCTTTTTCTTCTTTCCTTCCTTCCTTCCTTCCTTCTTTCCTTCCTTTCTTTCTTTCTTTCTTTCTTTCTTTCTTTCTTTCTTTCTTTCTTTCTTTCTTTCTTTCTTTCTTTCTTTCTTTCTTTCTTTCCTTCCTTTCTTCCTTCCATGTTTGTGTGTGTTTTGGCGGTACTGGGGATTGGACCCAGGACCTCACAGTTGGTAGGAACCACTTGGGTGGCACAGTGTCATCCATTTTTAAATAGGACATTGTTTTGAATTTTCCTAACAGTACAGGAAAAAACCATGTAGACTACTTCAGAGAATATGGTTACATTTCATTGAGTACTTACCAGTTGCACATGATATACTAGACCTCAAACAAGGACATGAAACAATTCAGCCTGAGTCTTAGCCTGAACAGACTTTGCAGTTGAAATGAAGAAATTCAAGGGTTTCTTTTTAAGTTAGAAAGACAACTCTATATGACATTTCTCCCAACTTCAGTTTCCTCCCTAAATTAGGCATGTAATTCACATTGTGAGGGTTGTAGAAAATTTATGTAAAGTTTCTAATATAGTTAGCATAAATAGATGTTGAATAATTAATAACCACTTTTATTAGTGGAATAACCTCTCAAAATGCCATTCTATTTATTTCATTAAAAGATACTAATCAAATATATTAAAACAGTCTAAAGACTTAGATACTTTCCTTTACAAAACTAGAGTTCTGCAGATTTTGGTATATTGGAGTTCAGAAACATTTTGGTTATATTGTTGATTGTTAAACAGGTTTGAGCATTAATTTATACCATTTTTTATTTCATTGGAGCATAGCCATTCTGAAATTCCTTATTCTCTAAACACAATAGTATCTTCTTCTTAAAACTTTGCATTATATCTGTAAGCAGAAAAAGTAAAGGATTCCACAGCAGATAAACTAGTGAGAATAGAAGTTTTGTTGTTACTCTGCACCTTTTCTGTTGTTACTTTGCAAGTTTTCTTTGGTCAGTGCATGAATTTATCCAATAGGACATTTAACTTTATAATACAGCTTAATTTATTTCCAGTGTGGTTATACCTGGATTTTGTTTTGCATTGTATAATGTGCTTCTGCTGATCCTGCTTAATTACTGTTGTGTCTTAGAGAACATATGGTGATAAATGAAGAGTGTGCTTGATTGGTTTTGTGAATTCTTTATTAAGTTTTTATTCTTCATTGTCTAAGGAGAATGATTATATTTATTTTCTTATCTATGCTGGTTTATAGAATCAAGATTAGAAGGATGGCTGTCTTTACCTGTGCGAAACAACACTAAGAAATTTGGATGGGTTAAAAAGGTAATTGGTCTTTTAAAATATGGTGTTCTCTCTTCTTTTCCCCCCCTCTCTCTTTCCCATTTTCTCTTATCGCTTTCCCCTTTTCTTTTTACTTGTGGTTTAACTCCAGCTATTTCACTTTTTGGAGTTTTAGGAAATACGTGTCTACAATTTTAGATATCTAAACAAGTCTTATTCTATGATTTGGAAGGATATAATTTTACTATGTGAAAAAAATCTATATTTTTATTTGTTGTTAATAATGAAATGTATTTTAGAGTGAAGTACATAAAGGCTGTTGACAATGGTGCTTTTGATGTTACTGTGTACATTTCTTATAAGGATACTATTTATTGTCTCCAGAAGCTAAATCAGTCCAAAATACATTTGATTTCATTTTCCTTCTTCCATTTATTTAAAATACCCACAAACAAAAAGTGGATCAACATACAAATATTACCTTACAGAAGACTTTTCTATAGCTGTACTAGTTCTTTTTAGTGACTTAACCTAAATATTTACTGTTAACATGGGTTTCTTGTGAAAGAAAATCAGTAGATATGATATATAATAAGTATTCAATGTTTGATTCTTTCCTTCCATCTTTTTAACAGTATGTGATTGTAAGCAGTAAGAAGATTCTTTTCTATGACAGTGAACAAGATAAAGAACAATCTAATCCTTACATGGTTTTAGATATAGAGTAAGTGCTTTTACTAGAATATTTAAACTCTTATCTTTTCTTGTCTTTTTAAATTCTGATAAGAGAGGAGCTGATCTTTTCTGTCTAGTTCGTCAGTGTGTTGTTGGTTATAAAGAAATCACAGTCTAGAATCTGTTTTACAGTAATACATCCTATGATCTGTGATGGAAGTTAGGGATCTACAGTCAGTACCCAAAACATCTTCATCTCCTGGGTCTTTAATCTACTATTTTTGGATACTAATTAGAAAATGTGACTTACTGGAAATATGTGACAATCTTAAAGTAATGTTTGAATTAACTCATGATATTATAGGAGCTTCTAACATGGGCCAGAGTATTTCGTATATACTTCCGATATAAATATAATATTAACTCAAGTAGTTATGATCCTTGGATAATATTTTGTTCTTTTATTAATATAGCAAGCTATTTCACGTCCGACCAGTTACGCAGACAGATGTATATAGAGCAGATGCTAAGGAAATCCCGAGGATCTTCCAGGTAAACATTGTTCCCTTCTGATTTTTCATCCTTGGATGTTGTCGAGTGTTGTGGCACAATCCCATTCCTTTCCCGTTAGCTCTGTTCAGATTGCCTTTTTACTTCTGGCATTCTTTTTGGTGCTTAATTGGAAATAAAGAATCTTACAGACTTCCCTGCCTGAGCTGGCTTCAAACTGTGATCCTCAAATCTCAGCCTCCCAGATAGCTAGGATTATAATAGGTGTGAGTCACTGGTACCTGGCTTTCCACACACATCTTTTAAAATGAAGCTGTGCATCTATCAGTCATCAAGTTGTTGTTTTGGGTTGTTTTTTTTTTATGTCAGTTGTGGGGCTTGAACTCTGGTCCTGAGCTCTGTCCCTCAGCTCTTCAGCCCAAGGCAAGCACTCTACCACTTGAGCCAGAGCACCACTGTCAGTTTTCTAGTGGTTTATTGGAGATAAGAGAGCCTCATAGACTTTCCTTCCTGGGCTGGCTTTGAACTGTGATCCTCGGATCTCAGCCTCCTGAGTAGCTAGGATTACAGGCGTGAGCCACCAGCAATCGTCTATCATCAAGTTTTTGTAAAACTCTCCAAAGGTTTTTTAGAACCTCACAAAATAGTTCTACCAACTCGGTACTTAGAATTGAGCACATGAGTCTGTGTGTGGGGGGGTCATTTCTTAATTATTTATACTGTTTGCTGTTGATTTGGGAGGTTCAGGAAAGGTTGGGTTTCAGCTGGAGGAAGTATGTATAGGTTTCAGCTGGAGGTGAGTCCTTGTTCTTCTCTCCCCTTCCTCCCCTCCCTCTTGCTCCCTCCCTCCTTCTCTCCTTTCCCTAGCCAACACATTATCCCTAGCTTGTCTGTTATGTCTTCCTCACCACAATAGACTGAAACCTCTGACACTATGAGCCATAGTAAATCTTTTCTCCTTAAATAAAAAGGTATAGGAGGCTGGGAAGGTGGCTCAGTGGTAGAGCGCTTGCCTTGCATGCCAGAGGCCCTGGGTTTGATTCCTCAGCACCATATAAGCAGAAAAAAAAAGCCGGAAGTGGCGCTGTGGCTCAAGTGGTAGAGCGCTAGCCTTAAGCTGAAGAGCTGAGGGATAGCGCCCAGGCCCAGAGTTCAGGCCCCACGACCGGACCCCAAAATAAATAAATAAAAAGGTATAAAGCATCAATTCATGTAATTGCCCTATTTCTCTAGATTATTACTTTTTGTTGTTTGTTGTTGTTGTTGTTGGGGTTCAAGGACCTTTGGGAATTAAACCTCCAGTACTCAGTTTACCACTAACATATCCCCCTCCCCCCGTCTCCAGGTGATTATTTTGAACAGTCCCTTCCTTTCTAGAGGAGGAAAAACACTTTATGAAGAGTTTCAACTTTTGCTGGCCTATTTTTATAATAGTTACGCTAAAACAAAGATACTGTAGAGAGAATAATGAGGTAGCATTGGCTGGAATCTTTTTGTGTGTGTGTATGCCTGTCCCAGGGCTTGAACTTAAGGCCTGGGCACTGTTCCTGAGTATTTTTGCTTCAAGCTAGCCTGAGCCACAGCTCTACTTCCAGCTTTTCGGAGGCTAATAAGATGATAAGAGTGTCTTCCAGTCCTGGCTGACTTCAAACTGGGATTCTCAGATCTCAGCCTCCTGGGTACCATCACCCAGTAGTATTTATTTCTTTGAAATGAAGCAAAAGGACTATATGATGATGTTTTCTCCCTTGAACTCTTTTGGGGGTCACACTTGGGACCTTGTGCACTCTACTGAACATACCCTCAGCTCACACCAGCTCATGACTAGGCAAACTAATTTAGGATTGATCTTCAAATGCATTTTCTTCTTACTGGGCAATTTAAGCTAACGTTATTTTATTTACTGTCACTACATAAAAATAACTTTGATCTTTTTGGTATTGATAGATTCTGTATGCCAATGAAGGAGAAAGTAAGAAGGAACAAGAATTTCCAGTGGAGCCAGTGGGAGAAAAATCTAACTATATTTGCCACAAAGGACATGAATTTATTCCTACTCTTTATCATTTCCCAACCAACTGTGAGGCTTGTATGAAGCCACTGTGGCACATGTTTAAGCCCCCTCCTGCTTTAGAGTGCCGTCGCTGCCACATTAAGTGTCATAAAGACCACATGGACAAAAAGGAGGAGATTATAGCACCATGTAAAGGTAAATAGGAAAGTACTTGATCGTTAATACCTGTGTTCAGGTCGTGTTAAGCGCATTAACTTATTCAAAATTTCTTTACAGTGTATTATGATATATCAACGGCAAAGAATCTATTGTTATTAGCAAATTCTACGGAAGAACAGCAGAAGTGGGTTAGTCGGTTGGTGAAAAAAATACCTAAAAAGCCCCCAGCTCCAGACCCTTTTGCACGGTCATCTCCTAGAACTTCAATGAAGATACAACAGAATCAGTCTATCAGACGGCCAAGTCGACAGCTTGCTCCAAACAAACCAAGGTAGTAAATTCAAAATATGGTAAAAATTAAAGTTCTTCCTTCATTTCAGCTTTTCGGTCTAAACTATAAACTTTCCTAATTGCAGTTTTGCTTTGCTTGGTACTATAAAGAACCATGGTGTAACAAATACCTTAAATTCAGACTGCATATCTAATTTGGATGAAAGACCTATTTTATAAATCGCCCACGGGCATCAAATTCAGCTAAAACTTAGGGAAAGGTTGGTTTGTGTGGCATTTTGCATGCAGTCATGATCTTCAGCTTTAGTAAACATGGACTACTGCAGTGCTTTGAGAAGCATCATCACTGCATGAAGCCCTTCAGCTGTCTGGTAAATGCACTCACCTAATACATAGTGCAGATGTTTTATGGTAAGGGGCTTGGGAGGGAGAATTAAATTATATCTATAAATTTAAAATAATATCTGGGTTTGTAGCTTAAAGATCAACATAGACAGTTTTAAAATACAAATGTTAACAATAAGCAGGCATTCCTTAGGATAGAGATAGAGTTGGGAATATGGAGGAGGGTCGGAATGATCATTATGCCCAGAAACACTCTGATAGAGCCATTTAAGTATTTCCATTTAAGTAGCTATTGGCTGAAGCAGCTACAGCTTTTACAGTCATTGTTATTCTTCGAACTTGAAGGATTAGAGGTTAGCTTAAAGTAAAAAGCATATATTTAGATCAGGTGTCTAATTCCGCATATCCTTTTTTTCCCTAACACAGGACCTTCAGTATATGAATAATGATGTGCATTGGCTGTATTGTCAGAAATCTTTCTCTAACCACAGTATCTTGAAACTAATATCTCAAGGAGATAATTTAGGATGACAAAGGTAGAATTGGTGTTTCAGCAATGAAAATGTTGACTATTTTAAGTGAGGTATGATAAAACTAAATATTATAAAATAGTGATTACATGGTAGTAATTAAGTAAGTAATTCTTTTTAAAAGATATAAGAATTCACAGACCCTGAAGGCCATTTTGATGCCTTGTATAAAACAGCTAAAAACTAAGTTTCCGTTATACAACAATGCATAAAAGCTTTTTGGATATTTTTAAGTCTTCTATAACTGATAGTACCACAGACAGGAGGTTAGCAAGAAGAGAACCAGAACCTCTGGAGGCTGGGAAGCCCAAGAGCACAAGCCCAGCCTCATGAGTGCTTACAAATGTAGTAGCAAAAACATCAGCTTCCACAGTGTTTACAAACATTCTTCTGTTAAATTTTCTTTCAACTTTAAAAAAATAATTTTCAGTGTTATTTTTTTCTTTTTAATTTTATAAATTTTGTTTTTTGTTTATGTGGTACAGAGGAATTGAACTCAGGGCCTCATGCATGCTAGGCAAGCACTCTACCACCAAGCTGCCTTCCCAGCCCGTTAACTGTTTTTGATTAAGGGTCCAAAATGGTAATCCCAGTACTTGGGAAGCTGAGGCAGAAGGATCAAGAGTTCAAAGCCAGCTGGACTGCATAGTAAGGCTTTGTCTCAAAAAGACCAAATAAACATGTAATAGATATAATGTATATTATAATACATATATTCCATACATACACATATACATATATTTACATACACACATGCACATCAGTCCTTTTGATATAAGTTAATATATCGTGACACATTGAGTTAGTTTTTTCAGACCAAGTCATCTTTCAGTGCTGTAACGTTCTGTTTTCCTGATGTGTTCAAAGAGCACATTTACTTGTGATTTTGTCATTTTTTTTCTTCTGGTCCTGCTCTTCAAATAGTTTTTTATTGCTGTTTTTACATGTTATTATTATGTATTATTGAGCCAATACTGGGGCTTCAACTTGGGGCCTGGGTACTCTCCTTCAGTTCTTGTCCTTGAGGCTAATGCTCTACCAATTGAACCACAGCTCCATTTCTGGCTTCTTGGTGGTCTATTGGGGATAAGTCCCACAGACTTTTCCTGCGTCTCCTGGCTTTGAACCTTGATGTACAGATCTTAGACTTCTGAGTAGCTAGGCACCAGCACCCAGCTAACATTTTTGAGTGATTATCTGCTGGACCCTTTTTGGAGAGTGTTAGATTTATTATATACTTGTCCTCAGAACTGCTCTGAGAAAACTAAGGCACAGAAACCCCAGCCACACACATAGTAGGAAGCAGCAGAGCCATAAGCCTGGGCTCCAGACAGTTACTTTGAGAGCTCACAACTTAAGGGAGTGTTTAACCCTCATTTCCTATGTAGGAGCAGGAAATTCTTTTTTTTCCATTTCTCCCTACTGTTAACCTTGCTGAATTGGAATTAAAGTTTAGATAGTATGCTGAAAAAGTAGAACATTTGTCAGTGAAATGCTAACTTTTGATGAAAATAGCTTAGAGAGGTCTTTATTTTTTTACTACAATTTACAAAATGCTCATGTGGCTGAAGGGCATCTATTCTCTCTCTCTCTCTCTCTCTCTCTCTCTCTCTCTCTCTCTTGCTCTCTCTCTCTTTCTCTCTCTCTCTCTCTCTCTCTCTCTCTCTCTCTCGTGGGGCTTGAACTCAGGGCCTGGGCTCTGTTCCTGTGCTTTTTCACTCAAGATTAGCATTCTACCACTTGAGCCACAGCACCACTTCTGGTTTCCTGTTAGTTAACTGGAGTCCCATGGACTTTCTTGCCCAGGCTGGCTTTGAACTGCGATCCTTAGATCTCAGCCTCCGGAGTAGGTAGGATTGCAAGCTTGAGCCACCAGCACCTTACTTTTACGAGACTCTTAATTCCAATAAACCATCAGAATTGTTTTTAATTCTATTCTCCATTTCTAAATTATAGAAGGTTAACACACTATGAGGGGAAAATAATAAAGTTATATAGAACTTAAAGCGTTACAAGTCAGAAATGAAGAAAAAATAAGTGAAGAAGAAAATAATTTCCTCCTTAGATTGGAGGAAATTTGCAAAGAACATAAGCAGGGCTCCAGTGGTTGCTTAAGTCTATAATCCTAGCTACTCAAGAAGCTTAATCTGAATGAACATCCAGGCTCAGGCCAGAGGAGGCAGACAGATCTGTGAGATTTCTTTCTCCAATTAACCAGAAACATATCAGACTGGAAGTGTCCCTCAAGTGATTAAGTACCAGCCTTAAATGAGAAAGCCAAGTGAAGAGTGTAAGGCCATGAGTTGAAGCTCAGTAAACAAAAGGGGCGGCCAGGAGTCAAGGTGGAGCACTATTGAAGGGCTCTACCCAGAATTATAGCCCTGTAAAATTGAAAGCACCATGTATCTGCAGTATACAACCATTGTATCTTATGAGAAAGATGCAGTGTGTATGGGTAGTACCTTTGTATATAAAAGCTTTTTATGGATGGGGGATATAATTCTATGGTAGGGTTCTTGCCTAACCTGTAAAAGATCGTGCTTTCAGTCTCTAGCACTAAGGGTAAAAGAGACACTTCTTTTGTAAACTGTTATGAGAAAGAATATTACATCATGCAAATACAAAATTAGTGAGGCCCATACAGGCATTGCCATTGAAATAGCTCTTAAACATAAAAAGGCAATTGCCCTGATTATTATGCAAAAAATTAAACTATAACATTCATGTGTCAAACGGACAGCAATGAAAATTAGTAATGGCAAGATAGAAATGGACACCCTCATGTTTGGCTGCTAGTAGGACTCAGATGCACCTATTTTGATGCATTTTTTTGGCAGTGTCATGGCTTGAAGGATAATTATTGATCCATTAGTAGAAGAGACATAGTACTCTGTAAACTGTTGTTTATGATAGCGTTATGAACACGGTATTGAAGGGAAAAGGAAAGAAAAAGAGGAGAATTCTGTCTGAAAGGTCATCAAGCATGGAGAATCAGAAATAAGGGAGAAGACAGATTCAGGCAGGATGTCACATGGAACAGCACTAGCTCCAGGGTTTGTATTCATTGTGGTGCTGAGGTTGGAGAGGATGACTAGAGGGGAAGGTGGGCGCCTGGCTGAGAAGGACCAGCTACGGTTTGTTCACAGGCAGATCTTTCAGTGAGGGATTGTATGTTCAGACTTCATGAACACTTGAACTGAGTAATGACACTTAAGGGGCGGGGAAATCTATATTCATAAAGATTTTCTAGGCTGGAATAACCAGAATTAGGTGAGTGGATAAAAGGAGAGGTTTTAAGAGAAGTCTTGTGGGTTACAGTGGTAACCCTGCAAATGAACTTTTTTTTTTTTTTGCCAGCCCTGGGGTGTGAACTCTGGGCCTGGGCGCTGTCCCTGAGCTTCTTTTGCTCAAGGCTAGCGCTCTACCACTTGAGCCACAGCGCCATTTCTGGCTTTTTCTGCTTATGTGGTACAGGAATCGAAGCCAAGACTTCCTGAATGCTAGGCAAGCACTCTACCACTAAGCCATCTTTCCAGCCTACCCATGAATGGACTTGTAAGATGCTGACACTAATACACATTCAAAGATTTTTGAAAGCTAGGAGATACTAAAGTCTCCCAGAAAGCCTACTAATCTCAGTCTCTCAGGTGTTCATTACGTTCTGAAAATTGTTATGAGGTTTATTTAGGATAAATTATCCAGCAATTTGCTCTTACCAATTACCCCTTCCTCTCCCCACCTCTTCTCTCAACTCTTCCCTCTACTCCTCCAGTAAGAGCAAGGCTCCAACCTGAGTTCACACCTAGTACTGTTAAAAAACTTAAGTAAAAAACAAAAATGCAAATACTTCTGTCCAATCATATGGAGAACCCAGGCTGAAGTCTAGGAATACGCACTGCACAGAACCATTGACGTGGCGAGGTGGAACTTCCGGGACCAGATGAATTCCTTGACAGTCTGACTCACCAACATCAAAGTTATACACAAAGAAAGGTTGCTTCTACTTCTCATAAAGGTCATTGCTGCACTACGTTACAGTATGGCTTGTTGGAATGGAAAGAAACCCAAGTACTCAACACAGAGTGTGATTTATGTAGCCAGGATAAGTTGCCAGGGCTGCTTTCATATATATAGCTGTTCCTTTGTGCCTAGTTTTCCTATATTAAGCATAGCTGTTGACTCACTGGGCAGGAGGTCTTGCTCCTATTCTCCCTTCTTGGGTTTGGTCCATGAGCTGATTATCCAGGTACTACTATGAAAAGAACATTATGACAATTGCTCCTTGAGGATTTAGGTGATTACATCTTTCTCTGGGCAGTTGGGATGTGAGGAGAAAGAAAGCTCATTGTGTTTTTTTATCCCCAATATTGTCCTTGTCTTCAATTCTCTGGTATTCTGAAAAGCGTACCTGGCCAATGTGACTGTATACACTTTCATATAAAGAAAAAATGTTTCCTAGATGCTCCCATCTTTCTTTTTATCACATTACTGATATGTTACTGATGTTAAAATGCCTTCAGAACCTTCAAACCTTCAAAGTTTGATTTCTAGGCATGGCATTAAGCTATGGTTTGTAAAGAGTGTTAGAGTGTAAACTTGCAAAAAACTCCTGTTGCAGATTGCTTGATTTGGCATTTAAAGACTGGGATTGGTCATTTGATGATGTTGATGGTGGTGATGATGATGACGATGTTTTTGATTTCTGAAGACATGGGGTAAATCAACAGTGGAAACTGAGTGATTTTAGTACTTCCAAGTAGTGCATGTGGTTTGTACTTGGGCTTTGATTATTTTTGAACTTTTGTAGTTGTTTTTTAACAGTATATATTTTAAAAGTTTTTAGAAATGTTTCTAACTAAAATTTCCAGGTCAAATATAAAAGTAAAATGCTATGTTCAGATTCTTTATATATAGACTATAAATTTTCAGTGTAGTTGGAATTCATTTTTTTAAACCTTAGGAATGAAAAAAGTGTTAAAATAGCAAAAGAAGCTAATTCTGGTACCTTCTATTCATTCCAAAGAAGCTATATTGGTAAAAGTAAAATAGTGTTTTCAAGTTCCTGCAACTGTACTGGTTTGTGAACATAGCATGGGTTTCCTTTCTCCCTCTATCCCTTTCTCATTCCTGCCTTACTTCTAGCTTGCAAGAATTGAGACCACACAAACTTCCAAGTTTGATAAGTGCTATGAATAGCATTATCTGATTTGGCTTTCTTGTGTTGCTATGGATTATTTGCAAGAATCTAATGTTACTTTTGCTGAAGAATGCTGGTGATATGCTGTGGAAACTTCTGTGGTTTTAGAACATGTAAAATCGTTTGCTTAATAACAACTTAAAGGAGATTGAATAACAGTTGAGCCTCATGACTTTAAATCTTTTAAACAATAGATTTATAAGCAGTGATAGCAGTTCCAAGAAGCATGTTGCAGAATATAAATTATGTAATATTATGTTTATATTCAGGTTTTACTGGGTAGCTTTTCTTTTTTAAAACAACTTGTTTCTTCCTGTTTTGTAGATGAGAGAAATATGGCTTAGCATCAGACAGCTACGCTGAACCTGGCCCATGAGTCCACTGCCTTTTCCGTTCCATGAGGCTGCTAGTAGTTAACCTCAGACCAAGCTCCCATTCAGATAGGTTGTTCTGTGGCACATTGTTCAACTCCAGTAGCTTCTTAACTGCATTACAGCATATGCATAATATTTGTAGCCAGATTTGAATTTCCAAAGCCCTACTGTTGCATTGAAAAAGAATATAATTGCATGTGCCTAAAAGTCAGAAAAGCAGAAGAATTAATTAATGTTTATGCATGATTTAGAAGTAGAGGTATGAGTATGTAGAAGGTAGCAAATAAACCGAGTGAATGCGTTTTTAGAGAATTTTAACTCTTTTAAATTATTTCATCATGTCAGCTAACTTTATTTTTCTTTCTTTCCAGCTAACTGTCTTCTGTGAAAGCAGTCATCAAGGTGATCACATTCTTCCAGTTAAAACAAGACTCAAATATAATGTCCCAAAATTTATTAAAAAAGCTATATTTTACTGAGAGACTGATAACACACATACATATATATGTTCCTTTTCCTATAATGTAAATTAAAAATCATGGACAGATTGGCTTACTCCTTTGACCAGCAGTGATTGGTGAGTAGAGTAAGGGTAGACACAGATCTTCTAGCTCGCTGCAGTCAGCTCTCCTGGCAGTCATTCACACTACACCGTCAAACACAAGAGTTACAGAAATCATCTTTCAGCTTCAACCAAGATTTCACCAGCACATTTACCCAGAAGAACCTGGGAATGGAGTCCACTACAGTGACAGACTGCATCGTAGAAAGAGTGACCATGATATTGTGTTATTTGTAATGTGTATGTATGTATATGTATATATATGTGCGTGTGTGAGACACACTTACGCACACACAAACACATAGTACTGTAATACTGTAAGAGGGTTTTTTTAACTTACCATTTTATTTTTATATGCATTAATCAGATATCATTTCTTCAGTTGCAACTATGCACTTGTACAAAGCCATAATCCTGGAGTTTGTCCTCATCCACATGTATCTGATAGGAGCTGCATGTTCGTGTCGAAGCAATTACTGCAACAAAAAGCTTGAAGTTTATATCAGTTTCCTAGTGCTCCATGATAGGCAACTTCGCCCATTTTGAATACCTTAATTTAATTTTTTTCAAAGTCTTGATCCTTTTCTGTATTTATGGGGGGGGGGGAAGGAACAAGTATTTACCAGCTTGTAGAGACAAACTTGCTTTGTGGACAAAAAATAGTGCACTATTTTTTACACACAATAGTTACATCACATCAGGCTCTTGTTTGTATAACAAGACTTTTTTTTTAATGTGTTGGTCATAGAAACAATAATGGGTAGAATTGGAGGCTATATGATACTTTTGTACACCCATCCCCTTTCCAGACATCAGTGCTAGTCTGACTACAGCAGGCTTTGCTTGGAATTTGCTGGCTAACCTAGGTGTGGCTTTGTTTCTGGTAAATACGTTTGTGACTATTTCTACGTTTTCACACTCATGATTCAGAAATTGTCTTAAATATGAGGAAAACTAAGATATATGTAGATATATTTTAAATATTTAAATGTGATCTTGAAACATAACCTTATGGCAATATTCCAGTGTTGGGTTAAGAAAACTGGTAACTTGGAAGAGGCAGCCTCAGAGGCACTTAATTTGATTTTTTGTTTTTAAAAGGCTATTAAGATGATTTATTTCTCATCCCAGATAAATACGTTTTGTACCATGACAATATGCAGCACTGGTACACATCAAGTTTCGTTTTTTTTTTAATTATGTACTCTTTTACCAGTCTCTCATATATATATATATATATATATATATATATATATATACCAGAGTTGGGTATGATATTGAAATATCCAGTATCTCAGTGAAGGAAGTAGACTTTTTTTTAAAAATCACTTCCTTCTAGGGTCAGTGTAGAGATGTTTAAAGAGTTTGATCCTCGTTAAAGATATTATTTTGGAAATTAAAGATCAGCCTTGGCCTACTGATATACTGAAGCTGAATTGTGATTTTTTTTAAGTTAATCTGCATCTTTCATGCTGCCTATACTAATACTAGATGTAAAGCACTTCCTGTGCAGCAGGAATGCTCTGCAGCTCTGGTTTGGGCATAGCTTTTCCTACCTTCCTCTTTCTTTCCTCTCCTCTTTCCCTTTCCATCCCTCCTTCCTTCCTAGACTAAAAAAAAATATATATATATATATATAGAATATATATAGAAGTATTTCCATTCATCAGAGTTGTTTAAAAGGAGACTGAATTAATATTTTATATAAAGATTTTGTTACATTATGGGAGGTTCTAGCCTATTCTGAATTGGAGAGTATATATAAATATATATTTTTAATAAACTCTATTAAGGTGAAATAATGTCAAGTTTACACATGAATAACTGAAGTATTTGAGTACAGAAGGCAAAAGTATAAATTTTGTTGTACATATCTGTGTGTGTGCGGAAGAAAGAGGAGAGTCGTGCCGGACGTGGACCTGTGCAGGGAAACCGACAGGCAGTGCTCAGCAGGCGACGGTCCCGAGAGGCGGAGAGATCTCCCGTGGAGATAGTTCCCACAGTGTGGCCTCATGTCAGGATTCGTGGGGTGGTTCTTTCAACCAAGGGAAATGTGCTGAGTAGACACTCCTGAGCTCAACTGGCCCTTCCCCTCACGGCCTCTGCACGCGTGTGTGCGTGCATGCGTGTAACTGTCCACGTATTCCTCCCAACACTCACCCAATAGCATCACCCTCCCTTGTGCCAGTTTCGCTCACCTTGAGACCCCAAACGTCCAAGTCAAATAGGAGACCAAAGGTTGCTTATTTCTGAATGCCTGGCTTCTCCTAGAACCGTAAATACCTCCAGTTGGGAACTGAGTTAGTGAATACTGGGATTTTCTTGGTTGTATTTGTTACTTTTGTTTTGTGGGGTAACAAGACAGAAGTAGAACTAATGCCGGTAATTACTGTTCAAAATTAAGGTGTGATACATTTTTATAAGTATTAATTTTTTAAATGCTGTCTAGAAGCAAGATTAAGTAAAATATATCTGAAAGCTTAAAATTGTCCAGCTAACCAATGGAAACAGGTTTGTGCTTTGGGAACTGACCTGTACTGACCTGTGCCCAAGGCTACTCTCCTCAGCTCAGTGGTAGATCCTAAGCAAGAGATGCTCGAGTTTGCCAAATCACAACTTAAGAAGTTATGCTGCTGTCGTTAACTTTTCTTTCAGGATTGAGGGTAAATCAGAGAAACTCAGACACTGCATTCACCTTACATTAACCATGCTTTAAGTCACGCGTTCCGCTCGGCTTAGGGCCAGCCAGTCGTTTGAGTTTCTCCACCCCTGCGGACACCGCTGCTGAACTCACCCCTCACCCGGCTGGCGAGCTTTCAGCTGCCCCGGCTGGAGGATGGAGGAGCCTCAGCTGGCTGAAGAGCACTTTGAAGAGCGCTGTGTGACAGTGCTGGGTGTCAGGCCCAGGGGCCTCCCTCTCCCTCTCCCCCATAGGACTTTTGTTTGGAATTGTATTAAGTTATGAACTGCATGGTTTAGATAATCATATTTGATCAGCTGTTCCCCTGAACAAAAACCATACACTCTTGATTTTTTAAAATTTTGTTTCCTCTTTGTAGTAATGTAATTGTATTTTATGCCTGCTTTTTATAAAATAAAATAGATGAATGAAGATGTAAGCAGTTTCATACTTTCCTGTGAAGTAGTCCCAGAATGCCCTCACCAGATGATTACTCTTTCAAAGCTGGTGTCATCTTGAGTGTCAGTCCAATGGGGTGGGTGTCATCTTAAGACCAGATTCATGGCTCTTGGGCTTTGTCCTTTTTATTCGTGGGAAAGCACAAAGGAGAATTTAGCCAGGACCGGTCTCTGATGTGAGTATTTAAGGGACATACAGCCCTTAGCATTTTGTTCCATCTGATTGAGGGCAGATAAGTAGGCAGGAGGCTCTCAGTGTCTGATACAGTGTACCAGTGGATGGTTTTCTAGAAGTTTTCTTTGGTAATCAGTAGGTTCTTTCTAATGCACTGGTACTTGACTTTGAGCAGGGTCTACATGCTGGGCATGGGTGCTCAGGCCACAGCGAAAGTTATCTATGAGGATCATTTCACCGTTAGTGTGCGGGAATGTGGAGTTGCTCAGATCCATTCTGTCCAAAGGTGAAAATGAACCCTTAATATGTTCTTCAGGGGCTGCTTCAAGCAGTCATTAAGTACTGTTAATGTATGCCTAAGATATTTGTTGGATCCAGGCATCAGTGGCTCATACCCATAATCGTAGCCGCACAGGAGCCTGAGATCTGAGGATCATGGTCCAAAATCAGCCCAGGCAAGAAAGTCCTGTGAGCTTTTCATTTATCTTTGCTAACCTACCAAAAAGCCAGAAGTGGAGCTGTGGCTCGAGTGGTAGAGTGCTAGCCTTGAGCACAAAGAAGCTCAATGACAGTACCCAGGCCCCGAGTTCAAGCGCCAGTACAAAAAGAATATATGTGTTGGGGTCAAAAGGATCACATAGGGCTGGGAATGTGGCTTAGTGGTAGAGTGCTTGCCTACCAGGCTTCAAGACCTGGGTTCAATTCCTTGGTACTACAGAAACAGAAAAGGCCAGAAATGCTGTGGCTCAAGTGGTAGAGTGCTAGCCTTGAGCAAAAGCAGCCCAGGGACAGTGCCCAGGCCCTGAGTTCAAGCCTCAGGGCTGGCCAAACCAAAAAAGAAAAAAAATCACATAATTTGTATTTCTGCAAGAAGATTCCAATGTCATGTGAGAAAACATTAACTTGGATTTTTAATGACAACTGCAGTTGAAGTAATCCAGTAATGGCTGTGTAGATTAAGCATTTCTTGCCCTGCTGGTCCTGGGTGTTGGTACCAAAAAGGATTAACTGGCTTATTGCAAATGTGTTTACATCACTTAACAATGACTGACAGCATGAAGACTGGAGTGAGGTGACGATATTGAAGTTTATTACATATAGGAAATTAAGCTATGAATTTTCCAGTAAACACCATTTACTTACTACATAATAGAATGAAGGACACTTAGAGGAATGTGAGGGTTGCTAAAAGTCTAGAGGAAACAGCAGATAATCATGATACCGGAAAAGCCGACTGGTGAGAAGAAAGTCCATTAAGAATCAGGCGGGAAGCTGGGCATGGGTGGCTCACGCCTGTAATCCTAGCTACTCAGGAGGCTCAGATCTGAGGATCATGGTTCAAAGCCAACCCAGGCAAGAAAGGCTATGAGACTCCTCTCCAATAAACCACCAGAAAACCAGAAGCAGTGCTGTGGCTCAAGTGGTAGAGTGAGCTGAAGAGCTGAGGGACGGCGCCCAGGCCCAGAGTTCAAGCCCCATAACCAACAACAACAAATCACTTTTACTACTCGTTTTCAGTGACTTCAGCCTGATATTTTGTGCAGAATTCCAGTTAACGGTAATTGTATAGCTGTATAGCCCTTTAAAAAAGTAAATACAGACTTGTGCTTGAAAGCACAATCTCTTCCTAAGATTGCCTATAGTAGTTACCTTAGGTTAGGGATTTCTTAAAGGCACGAAGTGAAGAAACCATAGAGTACACAACCCAATTACACCTGTGCTTGTTCTGATAACCTGGCTTAACTTGGACACACGTTGATTGCATTATGATGTACAGTAAGGCCAAGATGGTTTTCCTATGCTAAAATCAAACACCCAGGGCATGAACCCTACTGCCTTACTACATACAGCTCCACTGCTAACTGCAAAATCCCACTCCACTAGTGTTCATTTTAATTGTAGAAAGGCTTATTTTGTGGTGGTGGTACTTGGGCTTGAACTCAGGGCCTGGGCCTGGTCCCTGACCTTTTTCACTCAAGGCTGGCACTCTACCATTCAAGCTGTACCTCCACTTCTAGCTTTCTATGGTGCCTAACTGGAGATAAGAATCTCACTTTCTTGCTCCGGCTGGCTTGGAACATTTATCTTCAGATCTCAGCCTCCTGAGTGGCTGGGATTGCAGGCGTGAGCCTCTCCACCAGATTGAGAGACTAATTCTTAAAAAGGTTTGGAATGCTATATTGCAGTTGGTTCTTCCAAGAGTAAGTGTCAAAAAAGCCTTCTTGGGCAACTGAATTGTTGTTGCAGATGTTAAGCTACATCAAGAAGCACAGCCTATAATACCAGCACTCTGGAGGCTGAGGCGGGAGGATCACACCTGAAGCTCTGCCTGGGCTATATCGTGAGCAGAGGGCAGGTAGAGGTGGGGAAATGGCATACTGAGTAGTTCTTTTCCTTCCTTTCTCCTCTTTTCCCAAGGTCTACTGTTAGGCTAGACTTGAATTTGTGGCCCTCCTACTTGAGTGCTGGGATTACAGCCACCACACCTGGCTACAGGTGCTTCCAAAGCTGTTAAACCACCTCTGACTTCAAAGTTTCTGCAACGATTGACTGAATGTTGAGAAGATGTTAGTGCTTTTCCTTCGATTCCACTTTGTGCGTAGGATAACATTCATCACTCAGCTTTGACGGCAGGCTTCCGGTAGCGCAGTACTGTAGCTGTTACCCATATGTTTAAAGCTAGCATGATCACAAAACGTGTAAGAACTAAACAGGAGAGAAAAATTGGGCATTAAAAATATTGCACTTTATAAAGGAAAATCTCTCTAGCTCTAAGAAGACCAGGTAAAGCTCTACTTCCAGCCCCCAAATGAAACTTGTATAGGTCATGAGACTTAGAAGGTGGATACAAACTGGGGGCATGATCTTCCCCTCCTCTACCTTATGTGACTTGGTCTGACCTATGAGCAATCGTGTCATTTTTAGTGCTTAAGAGTCCTGTGGCTCAGTCCAGAAGTGCTGCCACTTTTCCAAATCCATTCGCCCCCCTATAAGTCTCAAGGGTGCTGGTGTCTCAGGAGCACTGGGGTAAGCAAAGGCACTGTGGTATATACCTGCAGTACCAACCACTAGGGAGACAGAGGCAAAAAAAAGGACCAAACTGGATCCTGGCCAGTTAGCTCAGTTGGTTAGAATGCCCAAGCTAGACAATATAGCAAGACTCCCAGATCTGCTCCCCCCACGCCCCCTAAAAAGAGGGCAATTCTGAGGTGGAGCTGTGGCTCAAGTGGTAAGAGCACCAGCCTTGAGTGAAGACAGCTAAGGGATAGAGTTCAAGCCCCAGTACTGACGCGCGTGAGCGCGCGCACACACACACACACACACAGAGATCTGCTAAACCCTATGGTTTTGGAAGAGGCATCATACAGAAGACAAACAGGTATGGAACAAAACCACTTTTGCTTACTTGTGAAATCATTGGTAGTCATTAAGGTTGTCACTATTCTTGCTGTAAAAGAAAATGCACAGTAATAAATAACTTGACTCTCTGACATTTGGAAATTTTTCCCTTTAACATACCAACAGAAACTAATTTCTTGGAAGATTTTGGATAGAACACTTAATGGTAGTCCACCCAACAGCCAGCTAAGAGCAGCAGCAGCCTGGCCCGTCCATGATGCTTATTTCCAACTAGCCAACAAAAAGTCCAACAGAGAGCTGTGTTCAAGTGGGCGCATGCCAGCCTTGAGGGAAAAAGCTCAGTGCTCAGGCCCAGAGCTCAAGCCCCTGTTCCCGAGAGCACTTTCTGGACTGGACTGTAGCTACTTCCTGCCCGACTCCCCCACTCATCCACCCACCCTCCCCTGTACACCCAAGTCCCTGTCTGAGTTCAAGGGTTTTGTTGTTGCTTAAAGGGTTTATAATTTGTGCTGGTCCTTAGGCTTGAACTCAGGTCCTGAGGGTTAACCCTGAGCTTTTGTGTTCAAAGCTAGTGTACTACCACTAGAACCACAGCTCCACTTCTAGCTTTTTGATGATTAACTGGAGAGGAGTCTGCCTGGAGTGGCTTTGCGCCATGATCCTCATCTCAGCCTCCTGGGTAGCTGGGATTACAGGCGTGAGCCATCAGTGCCTAGTGTTGAGTTCAAGTTTTGTTTTGTTTTGTTTTTTGGTCATGTGGCCTGAACTCAGCCTGGGCGCTGTCCCTCAGCTCTTCAGCTCAAGGCAAGTGCTCTACCACTTGAGCCACAGTGCCACTGCCAGCTTTTTCTGCTATGTGGTGCTGAGGACTTGAACCCAGGGCCTCATGCATGCAAGGCAAGCACTCTACCACTGAGGCGCTCAAGTTTCTTAAGACTCCGTATATCGCCAGGTGCCAGTGGCTCACACCTGTAATCCAAGTACTTAAGAGGCTTAGATCTGAAGATTGAGGTTCAAAGCCAGCTGGAGCTTTGAGACTGAGTGCTCAGAGAGACTTTTTTTTTTTTTGGTCAGTCATGGGGCCTGAACTCTGGGCCTGGGTGCTGTCCCTCAGCAAAACAGCTCGAGGCTAGCACTCTACAATTTGAGCCACAGCACCACTTCTGGCTTTTTCTACTTACATGGTGCTGAGGAACTGAACCCAGGGCCTCATGCATACAAGCCTACTACTTTACTACTGAGCCACCTTCCCAGCCCCATCTGAGAGACTCTTATCTCCAATTAATAGCAAAAAGTTGGAAGTAGAGATGTGGATCAAGTGGTAGAGTACCAGCCTTAAGAGAAAAAAACTAAGCAAGAGCGCAAGGCCTTGAGTTCAAGCCCCAGTAAAGACAAATACACACAAAAGAGTCCGTGGAAGGGTGCCAGTGGCTCATGCCTATAATCCTAGCTACTCAGTAGGCTGAGATCTGAGGATGACAGTTCAAAGCCAGCCTAGGCAGAAAAATCCATGAGACTTTTTTTCCTTAATATATATATTTTTTATTGTAAAGATACTGTACAGCGGGGTTACAGTTACATGAGCAAGGTAATGAGTCCATTTCCTATCGAGCATTGTTAAATGCTCCTTTTTTCCCCCTACCATTCCTTTCTTCCCCATGTCCCCAACTCCTCCTTCCCCTTCCCCCTCTCCCCCCACCCCCAGCCATGAGACTTATCTCCAACAAATACTCAGAAAAAGCCAGAAGTGGCTGTGGCTCAAGTGGCAGAGTGCTGGCCTTGAGCACAAAGAGGTTCAGGGGCAGTGCCCGGGCTCTGAGTTCAAGCCCCAGGACCTGACCAAAAAAAAAAAAAAAAAGAGTCTACATATCAGTGAGAGGAGGCGATGCTTGTCTTACTGTGCAAGTCCGCTCCTGAGTGCCCCACCTCCCACATGCACGGTAGCATTATTCACAGCACTAAGAAGAGGAGCCATCCGTGGGGAACGAATAAGGAAAATGGAGATATACAGAGTGGACTATTCGGCCATACAAAGGAATCCTGTGGAGGACAGCTTGTTAAGTGAAACTATCCAGGCACAGAAAGGCGGGAATTCTCCTGATCTCACTGATGTGTGGAATCTAAAGATGCTGAACCAGACGCAGGGGAGAATGGGGGCTAGCAGGGGCGGGGGAGCAGAGGGGAGGGAGGCAGGGAGATGGCAGCCAGAGGGCTTAAAAATCCAGTTACATAGCAGGAGTAAGTTCCCCTACATCATGGTGAGTATGGAGGGAAAGGAAGCAAACTGAAGTGCTATGTGGCAATAACCAACTCCAAGCTCTAGAATATAGTAGTCAGAGGAAGAGAACTAGACTAAGGGCTATACATGCTATTGCATACCTCTGTGTGTGTGTGTGTGTGTGTGTGTTATACTGGGGTTTGAACACAGGACTGTGAGCTCTCATTTGGCTTTGTCACTCACAAGAAAGATACACACACATAATATATATAGGGTATATTATACATTATACACACACACATATATACAAACAAAAATATATAATGTATAACATAGATTATATATACATATAAAACGATATAGCACTATATCTCAATATTTTAAGAGCTAAAAACGAATTTCAAGAAGACTTAAGTATCTTTCAACATAAAAGACTTCATAAAAGAACTGGAGGCATGACTCAAGTGGTAGACTGTCAGCCATGAGTGAAAAAGCTGAGCGAAGCCAGGCGCTGGCGGCTCACACCTATAATCCTAGCTACTTAGGAGACTGAGGTCTGAGGATTGCAGTTTAAAGCCAGCCCAGGCAGGAAAGTCCGTGAGACTCGTACTTCCAATGAACCACCCCTAAACCAGAAATGGAGCTGTGACTCAAAGTGGGAGAGTGCTAGTGTTGAGCAAGAAAGCTCAGGGATGATGCCCAGGCTCTGAGTTCAAGCCCCCCCAAAATACAAAAACACAGAGCTGAGTGCGCCTGGCCCTGCCTTCCAGCCCCAGCAGAGACACACACACACACACACACACGCGCGCGCACACACACGCACACACACGCACACGCACGCACACACACACGCACGCACACACACGCACGCACACACGCATGCACGCACGCACCAAAGAAAACCCAGTCTCCCTCACAGCAGTCCTTGATGAGGAAATGTGTCCTGTAAGTTGCAGAAGAACCATGAAGAGAATTGTAATGCGTGAAAATAGTAAATTTACACTCATTTTACAATGAATGTGAAATCTTTGAATTCTCCAGTATTTTGACAGGCAGCATGTATGTATTTGGAGAAGTGTTCACAAGCAATATGGGTGCAGATATAAAGCACCATAATTCTCAGGAACAATTACACCATTTCCATCTTTTTAACCTGGATTCAAATTTTCTGCGTGTGTGTGTGGGGGGGGGGGGGCATGCCAGTATTGGAGCTTGAACTCAGGATCATTGGGGTTTTTAGCTGAAGGCTAGAACTTGACCAGTTGAACCACAGCTCCACTTCTAGCTTTTTGCTGTTAATTAGACATGAGTGTCTCTGATTTGTTTGCTGGAGCTGGCCTTGAACCTTGATCCTCAGATCTCAGCTTCTTAAGTAGTTAGGACTAGGGGAGGGGATCACTAGCACCCAGGTGAGGATTCAAAATCATGGGGCCTGAACTCTGGGCCTGGGCGCTGTCCCTCAGCTCTTCAGCTCAAGGCTAGCGCTCTACCACTTGAGCCAAAGCACCACTTCCGGCGTTTTTTTTTCTGCTTATGTGGTGCTAAGGAATCGAACCCAGGGCCTTAAGCATGCAAGGCAAGCACTCTACCACTGAGCCACCTTCCCAGTCCCAGAGGATTCAAAATCTTAACATAAACCAGTGGAGCGCAGATAATCAACCTCTTGGATGTTTGCAAAGGAGGAAGAACTGTTAGTGGCACAGAATGGCCGGGAAAGAAAGAGCAGAGCATGGTGCACATACACTTCGCGAGTGGGCTGTGATCGGGGCTCTCTCTGGATAGTTACTTGCAAAGTAATAAAACTCAAGGGACCATGTCACTTGGACACTTGTTGAGTGCCTTTCTGGGGACAGTGGTGCTCACCCCTGGCCAGGGGCGTCCTTACTTGCACAGGTGTACGCAGACAGGGCCCACGTCAGCGCACTCACAGCTCCCGAGTCTTGAGCCTTCCACAGATACTGGAGCTGGGCAAACTTACTGGCTGCACTGATGAAGGTACACAAATTCTGTGGCAGATAAAATGTGAGCAAGTCAGGAGCTTATCTGTTTTTAAAACAAAACAACAAAAAGCCAAGTGGGGCATTGGTGGCGCATGCCTGTAATCCCAGCTACTTCGGAAAGATTCCAGTTCCTAGTCAGCCCAGGCAGACAAATCTGAGAGACTCTTATCTCCAATGAACCATCAAAAAAGCCAGAAGTGGTGCTCTGGGTCAAGTGGTAGGATGCCAGTCTTGAGCAGAAAAAGCTGAAAGATGGTGCCCAGGCCCTTAGTTCAAGCCCCAGTATTAGCACAAAAAGAAAACAAAAATGCCATGTATTTAAGTAAGAATACTGTCTTTTAGTACTTGGGCTGGGTCAGGGCAGTGGGGAGCAGAGAAAACGCCTGCTGTTTCTTGTTTCCGAGGAGCGTCACTCACCATGGCCAGGTCGATGATCCACTTCTGCAGGCTGAGAACGAACCAAGACAACACGAATCTTATCAAGAGCTAAGGGGCATGGCGGGAGTGGCTGGCAACCCCTCCCCCCCCATCTGGAGCAGACCCAGACCATGGCGGGGGGAGGAGATAGCTGGGCTGCAATTGGCCTCACTTAGAAAAGATAAAGGGGCTGCAAGCCAACACTACTCGGCGTCCAAAAGAACAGAAGCCGATTACAGAGGACAAACCCAGTCCCCTGGGTTCCTAGACTGTTCCTGGGGGACTGGAAATGCAACTGCCCACTGACTTCCCGGTGCACAGGACGAGAGGGGGGGCGAAGGCGCCCAGAGTAGACCTCTCTCTCATCCCCTTCCAGCTGCCTCCTAAATGCCATCTTCATACTCGAGGAGACAGCTGTTAGCCTCACTGAGCCCAATAACTAAATGAAAGGATTGAAATAAATAGATGATGCCTTGTCTGACGTGGAAGGTCAGCAGCGCTGAACTCGAGCAGCCGAGTCCTGGCAAGAAGGCAGCCTGGATGCTAATGGCTGAAACTTTGTTTTCAAAATTCCTGGCCCAATTCTGGACCATCCCACCCCTTTCTATCTAAATATCCAAATACAGGCACAGTATTTGGAACATGTGACTAGTAGTAGAAATGGCTAGTGAGCCATCTGACTCAACTGGGGGTTTGCCCACAAAAAGAGAGGACGTACCCGATGCTGGTGGCTCACGCCTGTAATCCTAGCTACTCAGAAGGTTGAGGATCATGGTTTGAAGCTGGTCCGTGCAGGAAAGTTCATAAGACTCTCATCTCCAGTGAACCACCAGAAAGCCAGAAGTGGAACTGAGGTTCAAATGGTAGAGCTCCAGCCTTGAGCCCCAGGGACCCTGAGTTCAAGCCTCAGTATTGGCCCAAAAAAGAAATAGAGGACACTCAGTTAAAATGGAATGAACATATCCTGTGCCATAATTCCGATTGTTTCTTGTTGTTGTTCTTCTTCTTCCTCCTCCTCCTCCTTTTTCCACCAGTTGTGGGGCTTGAACTGTGAGCCTGGGCGCTGTCCCTCAGCTCTTCAGCTCAAGGCACGCACTCTACCACTTGAGCCACAGCACCACTTCTGGTTTTCTGGTGGTTCATTGGACTTTCTCATGGACTTTCCTGCCCGGGCTGGCTTTGAACCATGATCCTGACCTCAGCTTCCTGAGTAGCTAAGATTACAGGCGTGAGCCACCATCACCCACGTTTTTCTTCTTGTTTTTCTTTCTAGATCTGGGGCTGGAACTGGTGCCCACTAGGCCTGGGCACAACCACTGGGCCCCTGCTGCCTCCCCCCTGCAATCCCATCCCATTCTCGGATGCTGAAAGGATACCCAGCCAGGTAGGGTACGGCCTGCTTCACGTTCCCATTAAAATGAAAGACACACAGCAGGAGGATGACATCTGAAAGGAGACTGGGTGAGAAGAGGAAGGGGGGGTAGGAAGGGCAGGGGGTGGCAGGCGGGTGTGGATGGGCTTTCTGGTACCTTGGGCGATGAGGATGGGGTACTCCAGGTAGGTGAGCAATGGGTTCTCATAGTAACACTGGTAGCGAAGGAAGACCAGGAACCTGAGGAGAGGCCAGCACACGCTCACAGCCCAGCCTGCGCTGGCTGCACCGCACACAGACCCCACACAGCAGCCATCTTATTGCCAAATGCTAGCGCAGGCCCTGTAAAGCCAGAGTGTCAAGAAGCTTCCAGTTAAACGGCTGCAAAAAGTCAGTGCTGGGGGAGCATCTACTACTTGCTAGGGGAGGGGCTGGGCTGAGTGCAATATCCATGACTGCTGTCGGGTCCTTGAAGAGGTTGTTCACAAGATGCTCACGCGGCTCATGTGGTAGAGTGCCTGCCTAGCCAGATAGAGGCCCCGAGTTCAAACCCTACTGCCACCATAAGAAGGAAATGAGCTGAGCTGGCACCGGCGACTCACACCTGTTATCCTGGCCACTCAGGAGGCTGGGATTTGACACTCACAGACCAAAGCCACCCCAATCAGTGAAGCACGTGAAACGCTTATCTCCAATTAACCACCAAAAGGCTGGAAGCAGAGCAGTGGCTCAAGTGTAAAGTGTTAGCCATGAGCACAAAAGCTCAGCCAATGCTCAGGCCCGAAATTCAAGCCCCAGGAAGGACCTGCACAACCCCCCCCCCACACACACACACAAAGGGAAATCAAATCAAAGGACATTCACGTGGCCAAGCCCTGAACAGGATCCCCAGGGACCAGCGCTCGGCAAAGCCAGTTGTTCCAACTTGCTGTGACCCTGAGGGGCTCACAGACAGGCTGGCAATGTCCCCACAGGATGGCTGCCGGGAGGCTGCTGAGGGCTGGTCCAGACAGCATGGCCTTCCCCGTGCTGCCCTGTGGAGGAGGGCAGAGGGAACGCAGAGGAACGCCTGCATTCCTCCAAGAAAATCCCAGCTGTGTGTGTCAGGCCCCAGGCCCCTGCCCTTCCAGAGTGAAGGCTGAGCCTCCTCCCTCAGACCAATGCCCCAGCACCCTCCTCCTGCTCAGGCTACCCAGCAGGGTGGTGTGTGTGTGTGTGTGTGTGTGTGTGTGTGTGTGTGTGCACTCAGGGCCTGGGTGCTGTCACTCAACTTCTTTGATCAAGGCTAGCGCTCTGCCCCCAGACCCACAGCTCCACTTCCAGCATTCGAGTGGTTAATGGGAGACAAGAGTCTCATATACTTTCCAATCCAGACACCCAGGCCCTGAGTTTGAGGCCCAGGACTGGTATCAAAAAAAATGGAAGGAAGGAAGGAAGGAAGGAAGGAAGGAAGGAAGGAAGGAAGGGAGGGAGGGAGGGAGGGAGGGAGGGAAAAGGAAAGAAGGAAGGAAGAGCAAGAAGAGAGGAAGGAAGGAAGGAAGGAAGGAAGGAAGGAAGGAAGGAAGGAAAGAAGAAGGGGAAGGAGGGGGGAGGGAGGGAGGAGAGAAGGCAGGGAGCCAGCATCCTGCAGAGCAGGCTCTATTGTTTCTAGGGATGAAGACAGTTCTTGCTCTCCGTCCAGGTGGCATTAAACAGGTAACTGAATACAGTGCCAGGTGAGTGCCGATGGGTGAATGAACGTAGAGTAAGGAGAGAACACCGGGCACCGTTACAATAAATGGCTGGGGATAGGAGGCAGAGGAATTCAGAGGTGAAGCCGACCGCTTCCGCGGGCCAGGGGGGGGTGGGGGGGTCTGCCTGGGCGGAAGTTCGAGCCTTTGGTTGACGTCCGCTTTGAGCTGCGGCACCACAGTCTAGAACCCAGGCCGCAAATGCGCCGCGCTCCTCCGGGGGCGCCCCCGCGCCGGGCTGGCTCTGCTGGGTGACCCCAGGGTGGGGAGAAGCCCTCTCCCCTGGGTCCCCGCCATGGACGGCTTGGCATTTCTCCTTCTTCTTTGTGTCAGGTCTGAGGCCGGGACTCGAACTCAGCCCCCGCAGCCCTCGCTCGCGGCTGGAGCTCCGCCAGCCGGGCCACCCCCGCCCGGCGTTGTCAGGGCAAGGCGACGCGGCCGCGCAGCCGCTGCGTTCCGTCCCCGTGGCGGGCGGCCTGGGCCGCGGGCGCGCTTCTGCAGGCCTCCAGCCAGCCGGGCACCGGGGCCAAACCCCTGGCTTCCCGCACCCTCATTCGCGGTCTCCCCGGACCCGCCAGCCGCTTGGCACCCCCACCTCTCCAACCCTCCCACCTCCGCCCAGGGTAAGATCGTTCATCCGACCCGGGACGCACCCACCCCCGACGTCCGCCCGCACCCCGGCCGGAGGCGCGGGGCGGGGCGGGCGGGGACCGCAGGGCCGGGCGCGGAGCCAGGCTCCGCCCCACCCGGTCGGGGAGCGAGACCGAGCGCACCCGGAGCGGATCCTCTCACCCACGCCCATCGTCCAACCACAAGTTTCCCAACTCCGCCTCCCCGCGCCCGCTCGCGCCCCGCCCCGGTCCCCGCCTGGGGTCCCACCCCCACCCCCGCCCCCGCCCGGGTTCCCCCCTTGGTCGGAACCCCGACCCGGGCCGCCGTGCCCCTCGGGTTTGGAGACGACGCGGGAGCGCCGAATGGAAAGGTTTCGCAGCCGGCCGGGCAGAGCGGTCCCGGACGGATCTCCCCCGGCCCGGCTCGCCCCGGGGAAGCGCCGCCCGGCCCCAAGCCTCCCGCCCGGCCCGAGCGTGGCCCGCGGTCCCCCGCGGCTCACCCCGCCAGCTCCAGCAGTAAACTCGGGAGGCTGAGGCCCCGCGCGCTGCGCGCCGCCAGCTGCGCGTGGATCTGCGGCAGCTTGAGCGCGGCGCACACGCCCAGCGTGCTCCAGTTGCAGAACCACAGCAGCGCCGCCTCCATGGTCCCGGCCGGGCAACGCGGGAGACGCGGTGGGAGCCGCAGCGCTACTGCCCAAGGCTACCTACCCGCAGCCCTTCCGCCTTCCCGCCCGCGGGGCTCCGCCCGCCCCGGCCGGCCCGGTGCACACCCCCGCCCCGTACCACGCCCTGACGCGCCACGCCCCTGTGACACGCCTCCATACAGCCCCACCCCCAGACTCCCATTGGTCGCATCTGCTCCGCTTCAGGAGCTCGCTCCGCCCCCGGTACGGCCACGCCCCCCGATTATCCGCCCACGCCCCCTTCGCCCCGCCCCCGGGCGGTGACTCAGCCGTGACCCGCGCTGCTGATTCATTTTTCCGCCCCGGGTTGTTTGGGCCGCCGGGAAACGCCCAGACCGGCCCGCCTGTCTCCACGGCGGACCGACGGCACCCCTTTGTGGGCGTGTGTGATTCTATTGTTTTCCACTCTCTACAAGTGTTCTGCGTTTTAAAGCACTTCTGAGATTGAAAACTTTTCTAACAACTCCACGTTCAGCTGTGAGCATCCTCCCCGGGCCTAGCGGCGGCTCCTGGAACCCGGGTCGGCCATTCGCCGGGTCGATCCACGCACACGCGCACACACGCGCACACACACACGCAGGGTCAGATCCTCCTGACCCTGGTTCTGAGCCGGGCCTCTCAGCCTCCTCTGCCCACCCTACGCCCCTGGTAGTGGGAATCCAGAATGGGCTGCGTCCTCCCCTTCCAGGCTAAATGAGAATAGCAAGCTTAGAAGGAAATATATAAAAAAGAATTGAATTCCTGCCCTGATTTGATTAGTGATCAGTGACAAGTTTTGCTCTTAAGGAAACCCAAGCGTTTTCATACCTTTTGATGACTTCTTGCTTTAAATCAGTTATTACCATGATTGAAATAGTGATTTTTTTCTATTACTATTTTATTGCATGTTCAATAGCAGAGTTCTTCAATACTTGAGCTTTTAAAAATTGTCAGGGTTGGGTGGCGGTGCACATCTGTAATGCCCAGCGCTTGGGAAGCTGAGACAGGAGAATCAGGAGATACTTCTCAGAACAAAACACTGGTATGAGGCTATGGATGCTTTATTATTGTTGCTGCTGTTATTATTCTTTGTGTGCCCATCATGGGACTTGAACTCAGGGCCTGGGCACTGTCCCGTAGCTTTTGCACTCAAAGCTGGCACTCTATCCCTTGAATCACAGATCCATTTCTGACTTTTTGCTGGCTAATTGGAGATAAGAGCCTCACAGACTTGCCTGCCCCAGCTGGTTTTGAACTACGATCCTCAGATCTAAGCATCATGAGAAGCTTACAGGCCTTCAGCTTCCCCTTCTTTCTTTTTGCGGTTCTGGGGTTTGAAGTCAGGACCTGAAGTCCTCATCTTTAGTTACGGTTCGGGAGATGTCCAGGTGCGCTTAGTTCTGTGGCCACGTGAAGCAGAGGTGCAGAGGTCGGAAGCAAGGGAGGCACTCTTCCGGGAGGCCCTGGGCGCCTCGGCTCCCGAGTCCAGTCCGCAGTGGAGCCCTGCTGTTGCCCACCCCGAGCCTGCTGAGCTGCCCCCATGCGCTCTGCTGATAAGTCCAGGCTTGCTTCTGCGGGCCTGCCCTGCAGCCTCGTGGCCGCTTTTCCACACCTGGGGCGTGGCGGCCTCCTGCCCCTCCTGGTCCATCCCGCCTGCTTTTTCGAGCCCCTGCCTCAGGAACCTGGGGGCAGCTGCCAGTCTGTCCTGATTCCCTCGGCCCTGGCGAGGAGGAGAAGGTCGGAAGCTGGTAGATGGGGCAGGGAGTGGTGGGCGGCACACACAGGTGGGCGGCTCATGCGCTCAGACAGACGCTGTGCCGGGGCCTGGTGCTGATGATGGGGGAGAGAAGATGCTGCCACGGGAGAGAATGAAACGCAGCTGGGGGGGGGGGCTTATGCGGTCCTAAGCCGTTCGGTGTGTGGCTCCTTGTTACCAGGCAACATTGGGCGCCCCTTATCTAGACGGGAAACGGGTAAAGGGGGAGCGTCAGGACGGGGCAGGACCCAGCCGGGGACCAGCTCCCGGCACCCCTGAGTCCCCCACCGCTACCGGTGGCTCGGCCACGCCCACCCCCACCTGCGGGCGCGGGTCCTGCTCCTACACCGGCTGCAGCTCCTCCTCCAGCTTCCTCTTGCGAGTCCCCTCCGAGAAGAGCAAGTAATCCATGCGACTGAGGGCCCTCCCCAGCGGGGTGTCCACCCTGCTGCCCACCACCTGGTTGGAGGAGTTGGGAACTGTGTCCGAGAAGAGCGACACGGACTCCGGCAGCCTCTCCGGCTCCTTCTTATTGCCCTGAGGGGAGAGGCCAGCTCAGGTCATGGCTTTGTGACAAGCGCCTGGGTGGCTGTCACCTGCCAATCCTGAGATCCAGGAGTCAGGGTCTGAAGCCAACCCAGGCAGGAAAGTCTGCAAAACTCTTCTCTCCAATTAACCAGCAAAGAACTGGACGTGGAGCTGTGGCTCTCGGTGGTAGAGCTCCAGCCTTGAGCACAAAAGCTAACGGACAGCACCCAGACCCTGCGTTCGAGCCCCAGTAACCCCTAGCCCCACCAAGGCCCTTCCTGCAGCAGAGACCCTTAGGGTGAAAGGCGACAGAACAGACCACCTCTGACCCAGCAAGTGTTCCCTGAGTGCTTCACCCTTGCTTGGATTGGGACAGACAAGGATGGCACCATTCCACAGCCTCTCCCACCTGGCCGCCCAACCCTCTGTGACCCCGCTGGCTCCTCCTCTTCCTCCCGTGCCAGCACTGGGGCTTGGACTCCGCCTGGGTGCTGTCTTCTTAGCTTTTTTGCTCAAGGCTGACACTCTGCCATTGGAGCCAGAGCTCCACTTCGGGCTCTTTGATGGTTAAATAGAGATAGTCTCACACACTTTCCTGCCTGGGCTGACTTGGAATGATGATCTTCAGATCTCAGCATCCTGCGTAGCTAGCCCGACAGGCGTGAGTCACCCTTTACTGGCTGCAGACTTTGCCTTTCTTAACACAAGATTACTTTATCCACCACCTCTGTACATGTTGGAAGAAAAGAAGGAAGGGAGGGAGGGACAGCGAATTCACCTTACCATTGGGTCATAGTCTTTCAGGAACCCCCATTGCTCAGTCCTGGAAAGGAAAAGCACACCGGCAACGTGACTTGTCTCTGGGACATTAAGACCAACTTGTAGCACATCAACTGTACAAGTCCATGTCACTGCATGTCGTCATGGAAGCACTAAAATAATTTGTGATCAGACAAAGGCCTCGAGTATTCACCAAGTATTTTGGGTGCATCCTACAATGTGAACAGATGTTTCCAAGACTGGAGACTCCTGCCGAGGTAACTCTGTGGCGAAGGTAACCAGTTTTTCCCTCCCTCCAGGGACCATTGGAATTTTTCAGGGCCCCAGTAGAAGACCTCAAGAGTTCTCTGAAGAAGAAAGGCCCCTTTTCACATCCCCAGACCATGTGCTCACAAGGAATGGAAGAGAGAGATGGCAATGAGGATGTCCACCAGCAGTGGCAGTTCCATTTTTACTGGAGTCTTTTTTGGGGGTGGGGGGAAGAGGGCACTGGAATTTGATCTTGGAGCCTTGCACATGCTTTAACACAGAGCCTCATCTCCAGTCCCCCACCCCCCCTTTTTTTGCACTGATTGTTTGGAGATGGGATTTTGCTTCTTGCAGGGAATATGCTTGGATCTGGAACCTCTCGACCTGAGCCTCTCACAAAGCTAGGGTGACACGGGCATGCAGGATCTCATAACTGGGCACCTGTGGCTCATGCCTATAATTTCTAGCTCTGCAGGAGGTTGGGCCTGGAAGACAAGAGGTTTGAAACCAGCCTGAGCAGGAAAGTCTGTGAGACTCTTATCTCCAACTTATTAACTTATTACCAAGAAGAAGGGGGGGGGGAGGAGGAAGAGGAGGGGGAAGAGGAGGAGGAGGAGAAGTGCTGGTCTTTTCCTTTTCGTTTTTTAGAATTGTGATTTCTTTGGTTTTCTCTGGAAATCCCCCCGGGCCGTGGCCTGCCACCTCCCCTGAGAGGCTGCAGCCAGTGCCTTAACGAATCCGTTCGTCGTTGCTGCGGCCCTCGCTGTCCCTGAGTTTTGAGCTCCGGGCTGGTTTTATGCCTTTGGAGCTTGGGCTCCATCTGCCTTCTGGGGGTCAGGTGGAGTTCAAAGGTCGCGAACGTTCCAGGCCGGGTCTGGCTTTGAACCGCGGTCCTTCCATCTCAGCCTCCCAAGTAGGACCGCAGAGGTGAGCGGCTCCACCTGCTTAGTAAAACCTCCGGTCCCGCGCCCCGCGGTGCCCCTCCGCAGG